TATTCCTTTAAAATTTGATCTGAGAATGGGGGCTGAGAGTGACAGGGTGCCCTTATTTAATCTATTAACAAGTGTTTCTAGCTCTCTGTCTATTACGAGACCATCGAGATTCGAGACTGTGATTTGGCAGCCGCCAACACCATCGTCCATCGAGAGGATTCACCGTCAAAACAATGTATGATTGTATGGTGGAGCAGAAGTATCAGGAGCTGTCCATTCCACAGAAGACTGTATGGCAGCAACTTAAACCTTACAAGATATGTGTTTCCGTCTGGATGATATATCAGAAGAAGATTTTGACACACGAATCTTTAAAGAAGAAGCTATGTGTTTCCTTAGCAGATGTGTGGTGTGTGTGGCAAGTGAGGAAGATGTGAATCACCTCATTCTTAGGTGCAACATAGTGACTGAAGGGTATCTCGAGGATGAATCTTGGTTACAGATGTTTTAAATCTCGAGACAGCAGACGTGACAGAAGTTATTGCAAATTGACCGCATCAGCAGCCTCAAGGGCCACAGGATTGGTGCACCAAGATTCTTCTAAGCGCGTTTTGTTGGATAATTTGGAAGGAAATGAACTCACGGACCTTTGATGGCAAAGCATCGTCTCCTCAGGTTATCTGCTGCAGAATCGGAAACATGTTTGCACAATGGCTAATTGTTGCAGGGAAAGTGCAAAGACCAATTGTGGAAGAGTGGCTGACCAATTTGCAGAGGAGTTTGCTTCCAATACAAGGACCACAAGAGAGCAGCAGCCTGACCTGCGAAGAGATGTATGGAAGTAGCCAAAAAATGCAGATGATGTTGTAAATGCGTTGAGTCTCTGCTGCATATAAGAATTAGGAAGTGGCTACACTGAAGAAGCTCCCCTGATGGAAATAGCCTGTCTTGCCTTGATGGGGAATGAGATACAGATATCTTTGAGAAGAAGAAATGATAAGGCGGTGTGTGTATGTTACTGTTTTTTGATATTGGTGTGTTACTGTTACATGTTCGTCATTCGATGCTACAGAAAATCATTGGTGATATGCGAAAGTGGCTGGAGGATTGTGGTTATGTGATCATTGGAAATGTTCCTATCTCTGATACAGAGCTTAACGCTAGAGATCGCATGGTCTTTTTGCTGCTCATTTACCAATGCTACTACAGTACTACTGCTGTTGTAAGTGCAAATTGTAAGAGCAGTTTGTGCTGCTCATGTTCCTAAAATCTTTTTTGGAAGTAATGATAATAACACTATATTTTACCATTATAAAGAACATGATCAGGAGTTGATTTGTTCACTTGTTATTATTTCTTCCTGGGCAGCAGAAAGCTCTCTGTTGTCGAAGCTTGATCTGATCTGTCTGCAGATAGTCTTACTTTTCACTCGAAAATGGCCACAAACTTTCCTCACAGCTTCCACTCTCATTCTGAGTTATTATTGTTTAATCCCATCTCTTACGGGAAAACCTAAAAGCTCTGTCTCTCCATGTCAAGTAGTGAAGTAGACAGTGTGAGAATTGGCCATTTGCAAATCTGTAGTGTACATGTCTATCTAGATTCTAGTATCTATAGGGCTAGGGTTTTGTAGGTCCTGTTTCTGAAAGTGGTACTTTTTTTTTCTTACTGAGCTCAAGTAACATGCTCCAAACTCCAAAGTAGTTGTAAACAATATAAGTTCAGTTTGTACCATAACGATATTTTTATGAAAATATATAGGGTTAAATGAAATGTGTATCGTATCGTTAAAAGTACAAGTTCCATTTGTACCGTAACATTGCTTTTGTAAACGAAAACATCGATTTTGTAAAACATTGTAAAATTCATCTTTGATAATATAAAAATGAAGAAATTGGGTTAGAATGGAAATGTGGGTTATCAATCCTCGTACCTCTCGCACTCTAAGCGAGCCGTCCCATCGTGGTACCCTCCTAGTCGGTCTTCATACCCTTCCTTGTTGTGGAAGGAAAAAGATGTGATGGAACTCACTACACTACACTACACTACTGAGTGACTTTGACTTGGTCCTTCAAACATCCAATTAATGGTTTCAGCCATTTCTGAGGCTGGAACCTCTTGTCCAATTTGTCTAACTGCATGGGACCAATGACAGTAGCTAGACATGACTTCTGGTCACCCCAACGAGAATCCTCAACCGTCAATTGATTGTTTCTGCCATCTGCCATCTTCAGGCTCCATAAGTTCATACACTAAGTAACCAGGGACCCATTTTGGACAGTGGATTTGTAGTAATTCCATTGATTTTCGACCAGGAGGATTGTGAAGGCAAAAGAAAAGGCCTCTCTGGCCTCTGCTCATTTCCACCATTATTGGTGGAGAATGTAGATCGAGCAGCAGAAGTTATTATGCAGAGGGATTGTGAGGGTAATATCAGTCAGAGGGTCAATCTCTTTCTCTCTGTGACTCAATTCAATATTGTCTACTTCCAAACTAATCATTCTTTCTCCATTGGGAATGAGGCAGTAGCCAAGTTGTCGACTGGTTGTGAATTGTGATGCTTGTTTCCCCCCTTCACCCACTTCTCTAGTAACATGTTTAAAAAAAACCACCTTCTTCCATTACAGCAGAGCAAATGAGAGGGCATTTTTGGTTTCCCCTTTGAAATTCAAAACTTCGACAATTTCGCAACAAACAGCAACAACATGGTCGATCGGTTTAAGTGAATCGTAGTCGTCAGGGTAAAACCAAAAAGGAACCACCTAAATGTTGGAGTTAGGGTGTTGACTAGGGATGGCAATGGGCGGGTTTGTCTAAACCATCCCCATCCCCATCTTCAAATATCCAAATTCATACCCGCCCCATACCCATGCGAGGAATTTTCGGCAAACCCATCTCCATACCTGTGGGTTTCGGGTACCCATGGGTAATACCCGTACCCGTACATCCAACACTATTATCCAAAAATTCACAAGAAAAGTTTTAACTACAACTCTAAACGTACCTATTATATCACGAATTCAACAAAACACGATCATTTTCTTAATATGGTTCAAAGAATATGATCCTAAAACATTCATTAATACATAATATAGAGTATAATATTTTTCAAATTATTATGTTCTAACTCTTATACATCTACTAAGTAATAATTAACTAACATAATCTTGTTGACAAGGGGGAAAGTGAAAGAGTGAAAGGAGAATTGAGGGAAATGAATTAGGTTTTGATTAAAGTGGTCACTCAATTGCATTTCTACTATTTATTTCCTTGAGTTATCCTCATCACCATTGATAGATTACAATTTGATCCACATGTTTTTGTATATGTGAAGAAATTCTCTTGGTGGGGCGGATATGGGTATGGGTATGGGGCGGGGGAGGCTAAAACCATACCCGCCCCGTACCCATCAAACTTTTTGCGGGTTTTACCCATACCCGCCCCATACCCGGTCAAAGCGGGGATTACCCGCGTTGACTGGGTCGGGGGCGGTCGGGTACCCGCGGCCATGGGTTTGATTGTCATCTCTAGTGTTGACATCAAATTTGTTATAATGGTGCTAACACTAATTAATTAATGAGAAACTTTTATTTATTTTGACTTTGTATATTGAAGGGGTTGACTGTTTTTAACTGTTGATTTTGAAAGGAGGGAGACGCTTGTCATCTTTAAAAACCATCAGAGCAAGAAGCGCGTGTGACGCTGTCTATTTATTTCTTATTCCGTTCTTAACTGGCAACAATCACAAATATCTGCATATAGTATACTGGAAAATTCAAACTAGAAATACGATAAATCACACCACAAAACGAAAAGAAGAGTAAAATTATACCACAAAGCTAAAAAAACAACCCAAAAGCTCGCCACACCACAAATTTCACCAACATACCAGAAAATTTATAAAGTTAACGACAGGTAACATGAAGCACACCGATGGACATATGCATGAATAGTATCCCTCTTGGCTCTATTGCCATTTATGGCCAACCCTAGCTACATGCAAGGCAAGCCACCGCCTAAGAATTTCTATATACATACACATTATACCTATATTGAATGCATGGAAGAGTTCAATAGTACCACGTTCGTATGTGAATCGTGGGGGGAGCTAAGCTAAGCCGAGCCAGATAGCCTCCTGCCTCACTGTCTCGCACAAGTAGGCGAAGAAGACGATGTCTCATTTATTATCACCGGATAAGTTGTTGAAGATCGAGAAAATCAACAATTCATATTGGTTAATATCATATGAAAACTCAGATTGGTTCTAGCACTTCTCAAAGCTTGTTTCATTTACAACCTTAAATGATTGAGGATTGGTTTAGACGATAGAATGAAACGAGTTAATTTGGCTCAAATATTTTAAAGAGAGGTAATTAAGTCAAATTGTATCGTTTGGTAACACATAAGATGAATGCACCAATTGGGGGACATGTTACAGTCATCGTGGTTACTAAGGGTAAATTGGGTATGAAAAATAAATTGTATTAATTAATTTTTTTAATAAATTACATTTTAGGTAGTTACAAGAATCTATTAATTACAATTCTCTCTCTTTCTCTCACTTCCATAATCTTCAGCCAGATCCCTTTTCCTTATTTTTCTCAATCTTTCTGCAAAAGAAAAAAAACACGAAATCACTACCAATCCATTAGATAATCACTACCACTTTGAAAAATATCAATACCATTGCAGAAATAAATTTATACCATTACACGAAAACTACCAATATAAACAATCTACCAATATAAATCTATACCATTTCACAAAAAATCAATACCATTGCAGATTGAATCCATACCAATACATGCAAATTAATACCATTACATGATAATCAATACCAATGCGACAAAAATAATACCAATGCAAAAAAACACTACCAATGCGAGAAAAAAAATCAGATCTAGAATTTTTATTTATCCCACCTTTTCCAGAGAATCTGTCGACCCGAGGAACTCCATTGCTAATGCTCTGGCGAGCCGTGATTTCCCAACTCCGGTTGGGAAGTGAAAGAAGAAGCTGGCGAATGGCTTGTCAGCAGCGAGATCTGAATGAGTAACTAGCTTGACACCGCCGGGAGGAGTACCGGGTCGGGCGGGAAGAAGACGGTTCCGGCGCCGTACCGGATCTTCAACCTCGGGAACACGTCGCCGGTGACGGTGCCGACGCTGGTGAGCATACTGGAGAGGCATCTGAAGGTGAAGGCGAATAAGAAGGTGGTGGAGATGCCCGGGAACGGTGACGTGCCGTTCACCCACGCGTACATCAGCTTGGCCCGGCGAGAGTTCGGGTACCGGCCGACGACGGATCTGCATACCGGGTCTGCATTTTTCCTTCCCTTTGGTCCCCTTCAATGGCGGAAACTTTTTGCAAGTAGGGATAAGAGGAACCAGCTTGTGAGTCTGCTTGTTTGGGTTTTTGAGAATCTGGCCGGCGGAGTGACGCCGACGGGGTGGGAGAAGGGAGAGACGGCGGCTAGGTAGATAGGTTGTATTAGGGTTTGAGTATAATATATACAGTAATCAGGTGTGGTATGTTTTTCATTTCCTAAATTACCCTTAGTTAATCTTAATCGTTAATTTAAAAATATAATAAAATAAAGATAATGAATGGTATAGATGTTGGTAGCCACCGTGATTACTCAAAATTGAGTAACCACCCTAACCTATTCCCACCAATTGGTGAGACAGTTTGAATTGTTTTGTTTTACATGAATTTGTAATGGCAGAGGAAGACACAAGTATTTTGAAATGATTCATCAATTATTAGATGAGATATTTTCGACACAATTGAGTCAAATTACTTATTTTTAAAAATCTATCTTCCAATTCACAAATCTACCACTAGCCATGCAATTGAAAGTGAGTTATTTGTAGTGAACATATATACAATTCTCTCATATTATCATTCTCATTTTCAAATCCACAACTTGACTGCCGCTTTGACTTCCGCTTTTACATACATACGTTTCTTGTACATAGGGCTATAAATGAGCCGAACTGAGCCGAGTTTTATCCCAGTTTGAGCTTGACTCATTAACAAAAGAGCTGAGTTCTAGCTAGGCTTGCTTACTAAATTCTTAGATCGTATTTGATACATTCATTTTGTATGTTGTGTATGTTACATGTGATTGATGTAACGATAAAAAAAAAATCAAATGTTCAACATTAATTAATCTTATATTATAATTTGTAGGTGTCATATTGTTTAGTTAATAAATTTTAACTAGTTCAAATCATGTTATTTCATAGTATCGAAACAATTTTGTACATAATTTCTTTATATAATTAAAAATAAGGCATATTTTCTTACATGTTCAACATGTTAAACTTCACATGATATGAGATATATAATTTAACAATCCTATGAATTATGAAAGTCCAAATTAGATCGATTCGTCCATAAGTCGGTGATCAAGTTGGCCCTCAAACCACAATGTTGAGACATCTCACGAGCTCTAAATGAGCCAACTTACGAGTTGAACTCAACAAGCCACCGAATCGAGCTAGCTCACGAGCCAAACAAAGCTAAACTCAAGCTTGACTCGTTAGTAAACGAGTCGAGTTTCGAACGAGTTTTTCCCGATTCGAGCCTCGAGTTGCTCGACTCATTTGCAGCCATACTTTGTACTATCCTATCGATTTACAATGGCAAAAAAATCCAAAACTTCTTACTTTTTTTTTTTCTACGAGTTACCTTTTTAAGCATATTCATCTCTTTACTTGCTAAGAATCCCTTTACTTACAATTTGCGGTTATTAAATATCAAACACAAAATTCAAACTTTAGTTTAATTGGCATAGCATTATTGATCCATGTGGAAATTGAAGGCGACAACATGCATTGATCAAAGCCCTGCCTGCCACCGGCCGTTTTCAAGTTCCGGTGCCACGCATTTAATGGCCGATCTTCGTTAAATGCCTAGATACCAAACACCCATTTCCACAATTTCAAACCCTAATTAATACACACACACATATATTGTAGCTATTAGCTAGTAGCAACTCATAGCAAGTGATCAGTTGATATTATATCTCTCTTTTGCCAACTCCCCGCCTCCCTCGTAATTACATTGCCTCCCTTCTCGTTCAGTTCCTTTCTTCCACTATAAAGAAACCCATCACCTCTCCCTTCCAACCCAACCACTCCATCTTCCTTCACTTTCTCCTCAAACAAACAAACAGATCGACCAAATCAAATTAAAGTTCGTTTCTTTGCCCACATTTCTCATCTGGGTTCCCCTTCTTTTCCGCCATTGTAGTGTTCTTCCTTCAGTAACGATGGAAACGACCACAGTTCTAGCCGTTCTGTCCACCGTGGCAGCCTACTTGCTGTGGTGGAAGTTCGTGTCGCGTCAGCTGTCGGGTCCACGTGTCTGGCCACTACTGGGCAGCTTACCAGGCCTCATTGCCAACTCCGGCAGAATGCACGACTGGATCACCGACAACCTCGCCGCCGCCGGCGGCACGTACCAGACCTGCATCGCCGGGATCCCTTTTCTGGCCCGGAAGCAAGGCCTCGTGACCGTCACGTGCGATCCAAGAAACGTGGAGCACATCCTGAAAGCCCGATTCGACAACTACCCCAAGGGCCCCACGTGGCAGTCCGTCTTCCACGACCTCCTCGGGGAAGGCATCTTCAACTCCGACGGCGACACGTGGCTGTTCCAGCGCAAGACCGCCGCGCTGGAGTTCACCACCCGGACCCTGCGACAGGCCATGGGCCGGTGGGTGAACCGGGCCATCAAGCACCGGTTCTGCCCCATCCTCGAGTCGGCCCGGCTCAGAGCCGAGCCGGTCGACCTCCAGGACCTCTTGCTCCGGCTCACTTTCGACAACATCTGCGGCCTGGCATTCGGGAAGGACCCGCTCACCCTGTCCCCTGATCTCCCAGAGAACGGGTTTGCGGTGTCCTTCGACCAGGCCACCGAAGCCACGCTCCAGCGGTTCATCGTGCCCGAGCCGTTCTGGCAGCTCAGGAAGTGGCTCCGGCTCGGCCTGGAAGCCGACATGAGCCGGAGCCTCCAACACATGGACAGTTACCTGTCCGACATCATCAACACGCGCAAGCTCGAGCTGGCAGCAGGCCGGCTCGAGCAGACCGGGGACGTGAGGAACCCGCACGACGATTTGTTATCCCGGTTCATGAAGAAAAAGGAATCCTACTCGGAAAAATTCCTCCAGCACGTGGCGCTGAATTTCATCCTGGCTGGACGCGACACGTCGTCCAACGCGCTGAGCTGGTTCTTCTGGCTGGTGACTCAGAACCCCAGAGTGGAGGAAAAGATCCTCCTCGAGATCTGCACCGTCCTGGTAGAGACACGTGGCGAACTGTCATCATCCTGGTTCGACGAGCCGCTAGGGTTTGAGGAAGTTGACCGATTGATGTACCTCAAGGCGGCACTGTCCGAGACCTTGAGGTTGTACCCGTCGGTCCCGGAGGACTCGAAGCACGTGGTCGCCGACGACGTGCTCCCCACCGGAGTTCATGTCCCGGCGGGATCGGCGGTGACCTACTCGATCTACTCCATGGGCCGGATGAAGTTCATATGGGGAGACGACTGCCGGGAGTTCAAGCCGGAGAGGTGGCTGTCGCCCGACGGCACGAAGTTCGAGGGACATGACGCGTACAAGTTCGTGGCATTCAATGCGGGGCCCAGGATCTGCCTGGGGAAGGATCTGGCGTATTTGCAGATGAAGTCGATCGCGGCGGCGGTGCTGCTCCGACACCGGCTGACGGTGGTCCCGGGGCACCGCGTGGAGCAGAAGATGTCGTTGACTTTGTTCATGAAGTATGGTTTGATGGTGGAGGTTGGAGCGAGGGACCTTAGGCCGATTGTGGAGAAGGTAATAGCAGTGGCAGTGGAGGGCAGCCCTACAATTAATGGGGGAGTTGCCCTTGAGAAGGGCAATGGTCACGAGGGTGGTACTGCTGATCATCAATTGGCCGCCCCGGTTGCTTGATATATATTTTGATTGTAAAATTATATGTTATATTGGTATTTTTAATTTTATGGCCCTGGTATACGTAAGGATATATGTCAATTTATCGTATGCATTAATGCATGGCAGGAAACTAATTTATGTAGATATATGTAAGACGACGGTAATTGTCAAGGGAGAGACCGTCCCAAAAAAAGATATTGTCAAAGGAAGAATAAAAATGAATTGTTTATGGGTTATTGATATATGTGTGTTATGAATTGTGATTGTGGGTTAATCATCATCACGTTGGTAGTCAAGGTAAAGTTATTATAGATAGATATGCAATGATTAGGAATGAATTCAAACAATACATTTTCAATGAATTGCATTTTTATTCAACTCGATCCTGATTAGAAATTGAGAAGTAGTAGTACATTCAAAGATTGGGACCGGATCTTCCAAGATGAGTGACTAACGAGGGATGACAAAATAATCCATCATTGCGGGTATTCAATCGAATCCGATTTGATGTTATCTGAAAAGGTTCAATCACTATAATTCATGAGCGGGTTTTCTTAATTAAACCCGATAAAGAGGGTAATGTGTATTTTTAAGTATTTTTTTTGAACGGGTTTCCTTAGTCTAGTAGATTATCATGTTGCCGCTTTCCAAATTTTCCAAGGTTACTCGACACATCTATATAAACTACGTACACACATAATATAACCTCACATCACATGAAATGGAAGTGGGTTACGGACATAAGTAGATAGGCTTGTAATTTTCCTTTGAAGCTATATAAGTCGTCACATAAATGCACATATTTGAGACCTAGAAGATGATCGCGGCTCGATTTATACCGATTACCGAGTACATATCTATAAGTATATCTTAATTAGCAATGGGCCCTTTGGCTTGAATTTTTCCAAATCTCTTTTTCGGCTCCTTTACTGCACATAATTGTTTGCAAAGAGAAAGTCTACAATGTACGTACTTAACTGCTTTTGACACAATTAGGAAGACACAGAATTAACTGAATGTGTGTAGGCATGTGGACCTGTACATGTATGGGTACTTCAGTACTGGGTAGTTACCTTGATGTTGAGATGGCAAATAATGCAAGGGCATATGAAATCAACTTCTGCAGCTAGAAAGTGATAATTAATATATATACTTACTAAAATGTGGATTAATTGTCATTACATGATTTTCCACATGGCAGTGAGTCTGGACCTAGATACCCACTGACTCCGCAGGCTCTGCTCAACCCTGAAGGATAGAGTAGGTTAGTTTGTCTATAAGGTTAGTTAGAGTAGGATCATCATTTGATCCTATAAGGATCGGGTAGGGTCGGGTTCACTTAGGGTAGTCACTTTTGGTCCTATGGTCCATAACAACAACTACTGATTTGAATTCCTTGTACCAAAAGATTGGACATGTTTGCAAAATTTTAAAAGTTTAGGTACTATATAAATTACATGGTTAGACAAAACTTTATGGTCCTATTTGTAAAAGTAAAGTTGAGTTACTAAATTGTAAGAAAAAATAAATTTTGGTACC